TAATAAATATCCTGAACTGTACGTGTCTTTTTCCACATGAAGGGAAGAGGATAGGCATAGAAATGAAAGGGAGAGAAGGGGTAGGAATAAGGGAGATACAGGGATGGACCCTGAATTGGAAATCTGAGAAGGCCAATAGTTTTCCTCCGTTTTGGGGAATTAAAAAAAAAGGCACTGATTAAATCACCAGTCCAGGAACTGGTTGAGTCACCAGTCAAGGAGCTGGCTGAATCACCAGTTCAGAAACTGGTTGAATCACCAGGCCAGGAACTGGTTGAATCACCAGTCCAGGAACTGCTTGAATCACCAGTCAAGGAGCTGGCTGAATCACCAGTTCAGAAACTGGTTGAATCACCAGTCCAGGAACCGGTCGAATCACCAGTCCAGGAACCGGTCGAATCACCAGTCCAGGAACCGGTCGAATCACCAGTTTAGGGACCAGGTGAATCACCAGTCCAGTAACTGATCGAATCACCAGTCCAGGAACTTGTCGAATTACCAGTTCAGGAACTGGTTGAATCACCAGTCAAGGACCTGGTCGAATCACCAGTCAAGGACCTGGTCGAATCACCAGTCAAGGAACTGGCTGAATCATCAGTCCAGGAACTGCTTGAATCACCAGTCAAGGACCTGGTCGAATCACCAGTCCAGGTCCTGGTTGAATTACAAAGTTGATGTTTCTGATACTCTAACCAAGTTGATGTTGCAGGTATAAGAGAGCTCCCCCTTTTTTAATGAGACGTTTCACTCCTGGTGAGCGAAACGTCTCCTAAAGTTCTCCATATATTCACTAATGTTCTACGATGCGAAATGTGGGAATAAAGACACTGGCAGCAGATAAACTCTTCATTACAAAGTTTCGCCCAAGGATGTGGTTTCATCGAATACCAGTCTTGGGCGAAACGTTGTACTGAAAGTATTCTTAGGCTTCATCAAGTACCAGTATTCTGTGAAATGCTGTATTTAAAGAATTTCTGGGCTTATAACGTATTAGCCTTGGGCGAAACGCTGTACTGAAAGGATTCTTGGACATTATTAAGTACCAGCCTTGGGCGAAACGTCCTATTAAAATGATCCTTAGGTTTTTATCGAACTACCAACCTTGGGCGAAACGTCGTATTAATAGGATCCTTAGGTTTTTATCAAGTACCAGCCTTGAGCGAAACGTCCTATTAAAAGGATCCTTAGGTTTTATCAAGCACTAGTATTGGGCGAAACGCTCTCCTGAAAGAAGTCGGGCTTCGTCAAGCACCAACCTCGCGCGAAACGTTGCATTAAAACATCTGCCAGTGTGTACAAATTCCCACTGACCTCGTCCCAAGTATTCCTTATTTTTTTCAGAGGGTTGTTTAGTGGGGATGATTGGCCAGTACGTGCTGTATAATCCGGACTGGCGGCTCATACAGGCCAATCCTACCTTGCCATACGCGGTTCCTGTGTATGTAACCTGTAATTACCAGCAGAGAATGGCGAAATACGGGCCGTATAAGCAGGAAAATCGAGCATTATGCACACGATTGGTGGAGAAGAGGTTGATTTGTTAAAATGTCGTTCCTATCTGGCTACCTGTGTGTGTGTGTGTGTGTGTGTGTGTGTGTGTGTGTGTGTGTGTGTGTGTGTGTGTGTGTGTGTGTGTGTGTGTGTGTGTGTGTGTGTGTGTGTGTGAACTTATATGGTTATGTGTCTGGGGGTCGAGACTCGTTACCTCGTCCACTTCTGCTTCCTGGCCTCCAGGACACAATCATACCTAGTCTTCAAACTGTGTATGAAGTGTTCCTCCACCATCCTTCTCATCTCTCTCACTCCACCTGTTTACCATCCTAACACCTCACTATTTCCTAACCAATAAGTTTAAAAATCATGAACAAAACTACTCAATAATACACAAAACTGCTGCGTTAGCGGTGAGGAAAACACCTGTGATTTGTAGAGCTGTACTTGATGCAGTAATCAAGGACAGGTGTGATTGATTCTGTAAATCCTCCTCCTCAGTGATCATCCTATCACTGATTCACCTCACCATCCTCAATTATAAGTGTTCAGTCCCTAAGTCCTTATAGAAGTGTTCAGTCCCTCAACCTTGATAGTGTTCAGTCCCTGAACCTTGATAGGTGTTCAGTCCCTGAACCTTGATAGGTGTTCAGTCCCTGAACCTTGATATGTGTTCAGTCCCTCAGCCTTGATAGGTGTTCAGTCCCTCAACCTTGATAGGTGTTCAGTCCCTGAACCTTGATAGGTGTTCAGACCCTGAACCTTGATAGGTGTTCAGTCCCTCAACCTTGATAGGTGTTCAGTCCCTGAACCTTGATAGGTGTTCAGACCCTGAACCTTGATAGGTGTTCAGTCCCTCAACCTTGATAGGTGTTCAGTCCCTCAACCTTGATAGGTGTTCAGTCCCTGAACCTTGATAGGTGTTCAGTCCCTGAACCTTGATAGGTGTTCAGTTACTCTACAAATCACCTCAGATCAACAGTAACATCACTCCACTTCAGACACAGGCTCAGGGCTGATAAAGTTAATTTTCTTGAATCTTAATAACTGGTTAACTGAAGGGATGTGGGATGAACGGGGATACTATCCCTAGGTACTATCCCTAGGTACTATCCCTAGGTACTATCCCTAGGTACTATCCCCAGGTACTATCCCCAGGTACTATCCCCAGGTACTAGTCCCAGGTACTAGCCCCAGGTACTAGTCCCAGGTACTAGCCCCA